GAGAGAAAGGCTTCTGAGGATAATGCCTCAATCAGTAATTTATTTTCTGTAGGCTTAGCTTAAGACAGGAAAAGTTCGATTTCATAAAGAAAGGAACGTTTGGGTCATGTTTTCACTTCCAAGTTAAGGACTCCAATTCTTGATCTGTTAGTTAGGGGATAAAACTTGATTGAAGACCACAGGACTACAATGGGGTGAGTACTACACCTTTTTATAACAGCCACAAAAGCTTTAGCTCAATACACTTACTGCTGTTTTCCTCCAGCAGGAAGAGAAGGCCCGACTTGAGGCTGAAGCCCGTGAGAGAGAACAGTTACAACTACTGGAGGAGCAGAGGCGGCAGGAAGAGGAAGAGCGGCTAAAACAGGAACTGCAACGGCTTCAAGAGCTGCAGCAAATAAGATCAGCCAAGAAAAAGAAAAAGGAGAGAATTAAGGAGTCCCAAAAAAATGAGTGCTTTTTACAAAATGCACGTTTAAAGCAAACTGCTGTGGATCTGGTAAATGATAATGGCAAATCCCAGCATCCAGATACTGTAGCAAAGCCTCCCAACCCACCACCCCCACAAACAAACAGCAAAGAGGAGCAGAGTGTTCTGCCAGAATCTAGTACAACACAGCAGTCACCAGCTAATGGGAAAGACCCCAGACTGCCCCAGGCTCCATCTCAGCGGGAAGCAAAGGCCAAGCAACCAGAAGCCAACATCAGCCTGGAACTCTCGGTCCACAATGAAGTAAACGGCAAGCAGAAGGTAAAATCGCAGGTGGTCAAACAGAGTACTGAACGGCCATTGAAGCCAACTGAGGGCTTCAGACCCTGCGAGACGTACCCAAAAAGCTCAGCCAAGTGTCAGGCAGAATTGGGAACACTCAAACCAAAGCTGTCTGAGTGCCAAATGGTGGCAGAAACCAGAAAAGAGGAGAAAAAAGGAGTTAATAGCAATGGGAAGAAGCTCAACCATGTGAAAGAAGAAAAGGTGTTAGCAGTGAGTGAACCTGCCCCTTCTAATGACCAACAACACGTTAACAAAAACACTGCGGAATCGCCCCAGCCCAAAGGAAAAACCAAGAAAAACAAAAAGAAGAAAGGCGACAAACTGAACAACTCTATCGGTAAGTTTCACTCTATTTTTGTATAAAAATAAAGAATGCTTTGACCGAATTAGCCTTGCCAGTAGTATTCCTTGGTCATACAAGTGATCACCACTCATCTCTCTCTTGGACAGCTAAACGAATTATTTCATTCAATATTGTGTTAAATCAATAGTGGCCAACACAATTCACACTTCAGACTAATTGGACTGCAGAGGTTCAAGAAGCCAGCTTGCCGCCACCTTTTCAAGAAATTAGGGATGGGCAATAAATACGGACTGAGTCAGCAACATCCACATAATAACTTATTTTAAAAAAAACCTCCGTCTGCAAATACTTAGAAGTCAACTTAATTTACATGCTAATACATTTAATTACTTTCAAACACAACTCGGGTCGATCTTCATAGCTGATGGGCTTTTGTGAAGCATACAGAAATAACAGGCAGGGAAGGACCAGCTGGCTGGTCCATCACCCTGTATCATGCTTCCGTACAGCTAAAAACTTCACACACACTATATCGTGCATGCACATGTGCATAGTTTTGATATCATAGTTGTCTTCCTCACATACTATCTCATTCTGCTCATTCTTCTCTATTGCTTTTGCCTTTCCTACATGTTTGGTACACACTTATTTCTTGGTAATTTCCACGTGTATACGGATCCCAATGACTTGAGGCCATAGTCTAGAGGTGGTGATGAGCAGCTTTTGAAGTTCTGTAGATTGTTATGCTACAGTAAGTTTCCACCAGGAGAGGGAGCTCCGAGACTAGCTTAATTAAAACAACTTACTTCAGAGCCTGCTTAATCGTTCTAAACATTTATTATAACGAGCACTAAAGCGCACTAATGTTTCCACTGTAGCATTTAATCATATTCTAAATAACTGATTCAAAGCCCTTCATATCCTGTCTCAAAAATCAACTCCAAGTGCACGTACACACACTCATCCTTCATTCCCACCCATCATGAAGATTGTCATGACCGAGCCGTAACTTCCGATATCTGAGGGGTTGATGTTTAAAGTCCAGAAGGAGGACTACTGTCAAGTAATCTATCCCTAATGCAGAAACACTTTGGTCACTTTTGAGATCTGACCTGGGTCTATCCTGAAGAACGGTTAAATCGGACTCAATGTTTACTGTTTCTCTCTTCACAGATGCTGCCAGACCTGCTGAATTTCTCCAGCACTTTGTTTTTGTTTCAGATTTCCAGCATCTGCAGTACTTCACTTTTATCTGAGTACGCATGCATGAGCCATTGGGTGTTTTTTAAATCTGATTTTACCCTCATGTTTACTTGATTATGTGGTTTTAAAATTAAACCCCCTGATTTCTGATTTTCTTTTGGCACTTCCTTCTTGTCACTGTCATCCTTTACTACGGTCTCAAGAAAATCTGTCCTTTTTTTTTCCTTCAGTGTTGCTTGGTCATTCTGATCTCTTTGCCGTTTGGTCTGCCTGATGTTTTCTGATTCACTAATTTATATAATTAAATCTCCTACTATTAGTGTTCTGTGAAATTGTTGAGCTCGAACTCTCTCTCTTTTACTATGCAATGGAAAAGCTCATTGGAAACTGATGACTAATTCCCTTGCTTTTGCTATAGTTCATTGCAAGTTATGTCGCGGGTAGACAGGGTGGTAAAGAAGGCATTTGGCGTGCTTGCTTCAATGGCTCAGTCCATTGAGTAAAGGAGTTGCAGTTGAACAGGACGTTGATGAAACCCCTTTGGAGTACTGTGTACGGTTCTGGTCGCTCTGCTATAGGAAGGATATTATTAAACTGCAAAGGGTGCAGGAAAGATTTACGAGGATGTCAATGGGTTCAAACGGTTTGAGTTATATGGGGAAGCCGGATAAGCTGGGACTTTCACTGATGTGTAGGAGATTGAGGGGTGACCTTGTGGAGATTTACAAAATCATGAGGGGCACAGATAAGGTAAATAGCAAAAGACTTTTGCCTCGGGTTGGGAAATTAAAAACTAAAGGACATAATTTTAAGGTGAAAGGAAAATCATTTAATATATATGTGGAGTGAACTGCCAGACGAGATGGTAGATGTAGGTACAATTACAACATTTAAAAGACATTTGGACAAGTACATGAATAGGAAAGGTTTGGAGGAATACGGGCCAAATGCAGGCAAATGGTACAAGTTTATTTTGGGAAATTTGGTCGGCAGGGACAAGTTGGACTGAAGGGTCTGTTTCTGTGCTGTATAACACTGACTCTCTTTGCAGTGGTGCTCACTATTTTTTGGTTATGTCTGAAAGGCACTTTCTACCAAGTATTCACTCTTCATTATGGAGCCTTGAGGGAGAGTTAGTCAGTTGTTCCATTGCCGGCTGTATGGATTGAAACAGTTTCCAGATTGCTTCCAAGAAACCTGCATTCGTGGCCCAGGCTGAAGTTTGAGAAAGGAGTTTTATAGTGATATGATAGTATTCTCAAAGTCCCAGTGGTCACAGTGAATGGCTAGTGTACTTGAATCATAGTGTGAGAACAAAAGAACAGCAGCAGCCATTCTGTTCCAGAGATTGTGCTTCCTCAATTCAAATCATGGCTGATTTGCAACAAACTGCTTTGCCTTCCTATCTTACAAATATATATATTGGTCTTGATCTTAAAGTCCTGGAAGAATCTAGAACTAGAGGCGAGTAAGACCAAGAACTTAGGATGCTGGAAATCTGAACCAAAACAGAAATTGCTGCCGAAAATCCGCTCTGGCAGCATTTCATTCAGAAAGTAAGGAGGTATGGGATTCAGGGAAATTTGGCAGTCTGGATACAAAACTGGCTGTCCAATAGAAGACAGAGGGTGGTAGTAGATGGAAAGTATTCAGCCTGGAGCTCAGTGACCAGTGGTGTTCCACAGGGATCTGTTCTGGGACCTCTGCTCTTTGTGATCTTTATAAATGACTTGGATGAGGAAATAGAAGGATGGGTTAGTTAGTTTGCCAATAACATGAAGGTTGGTGGAGTTGTGAACAACGTGGAGGGCTGTTGTAGGTTGCAGCGGGACATTGACAGGATGCAGAGCTGGACAAAAGTGGCAGGTGGAATTCAACCCAGAAAAGTGTGAAGTGATTCATTTTGGAAGGTCGAATTTGAATGCAGAATACAGGGTTAATTGGATGATTCTCGGCAGTGTGGACGAACAGAGGGGTCTTGGGGTCCACATCCATAAACCCCTCAAAGTTACTTCCCAAGTTGATAGGGTTGTAAACAAGGTGTTTGGTATGTTGGCTTTCATTGGCAGGGGAATTGAGTTTAAGAGCTGTGAGGTTATGCTGCAGCTCTATAAAACTCTGGTTAGACCACACTTGGAATATTGTGTTCAGTTCTGGTCACCTTATTATAGGAAGGATGTGGAAGCTTTAGAGAGGGTGCAGAGGAGATTTACCAGGATGCTGCCTGGACTGGCGGACAGGCCTTATGAGGAAAGGTTGAGGGAACTAGGGCTTTTCTCATTGAAGTGAAGAAGGATGAGAGGTGACTTGATAGAGGTTTACAAGATGATGAGTGGCATAGATAGAGTGGATAGTCAGAGACTTTTTCCCAGGGTGGAAATGATTATTACAAGGGGACATAATTTTAAAGTGATTGGAGGAAGGTATAGGGGAGATGTCAGAGGTAGGTTCTTCACACAGAGTGTGGTGGGCGTGTGGAACGTGCTGCCGGCAATGGTGGTGGAGTCAGATACTTTCGAGACTTTTAAACTACTCTTGGATAGGCACATGGAGGATAGTAAAATGTAGGGTATGCAGGGTAGATTAATCTTATTAGGATAATAGGTTGGCACAACATCGTGGGCCGAAGGCCTGTACTGTGCTGTGCTGTTCTATGTTCTATTTGTGGAGAGAAAACACTTAAGATTTTGTGTCCAGTGAACCTTTGTCAGAACTGAGGTCACAGTTTCAGAATAAGGGATTGCCCATTTAAGTCTGACATCATGAGGAATTTCTCCTTTGAGAGTTGTGAATGTTTGAAATTCTGTATCCAAGAGTGCTGTGGATTGCTTCTGTATTCAGAGAGCTGTATGTTGAAACCATAACGCTGTCTAGTGTTTGGAGAGCAGGCAGTTAAGTGGTGCTGAGGCGAACATTAGGTCACCCCGAATCTTAAGTGGTTCTTAGGCCTGTATGCCTTCTACTCCTCCAATTTCTGTGGTTCTTTGTAGTAATCTTGCTGATAGGTTCTTCATTTTTGCTATCCCATTTGTGATAATGTGCTTTCAAGTCTCCATTAATTTTACTATTTGAAACAACACTGGGGAAGTTCTTCATTCGTGACAAAGGCGCCTACTTGACTGGCACCCTATCCACCACCTGCAACACTTGCTGTCTCCATCATTGACGAGTGGCAGACAAGTATGCCATCGCCGAGATGCACTGCAGCAACTTAACCAGGCTGTTTCGGCAGCACCTTCCAAACCCATAACCTCTTTCACCTAGAATGACAAAGGCAGAAGATGGATGTGAACACCACTGCCTATAGGTTTCCCGCCGGTTGAGATACACCATCCCCTTGGAACTATGTTATTGTTCCTTCATTGTTACTGGATTCTGGAACTCCCTAACAACATTTTTGGTGTCACTACAACACATGGACTGCAGAAGGTAGGTGGTCAACCTTAGCAAGGATAATTAGGGATTGACAGAAACTTAAGGCATTGGCAGTGGCTCTTGGACTAGTGAATCGGAAGACAATAGCTGTTGTTGAATCATTTTCTGGGTAATATTGTTTTGTCAAGTGTGATTAAGACATTAAATTAATAACAAATCATCAAGGTAAATACACCTGTTGAGCTACAGAGGCATGGAAGTAGATGATCAGCTATGATCGAATGTGAATAATGGAGTAAGCTTGATGCGCTGAATGGCCTATCCTACTCCTATGTTTCAATGCTGCTTTTGCAAAACTATACAACATTGGCATTTTCTACGTGTTGGAAAATCTCTGCTTGGAAGAAAAACCTACCTTTTCGATCAATGTAATCTAATTTTCCTAAGGTTTGTAATTGAAGCAACATTGCTAGATGAGAACAAACTAAGTCCATCTAAAGGTTTGGTCACTGTATGGTACAGCAGTAATAGAATTTTTGGTGATCGTAGCAATTACACTCAATGCGAAAGGAAGAAAATAAACCCTGTGGAGGAGAGATTAGGCAACTCTAAGCACAAAATTGCCTGATCCTTACCCCCACACTGTCTCTCATTACTCCTGTACCATAATCAAAGACACTATTTAAGAAATCTAAATTTTGCATCTGAAAGAATCTGTTTATGACCACTTTTTTTTTTTTTTTGAATAGATGATGTGTTCCTCCCTAAAGACATTGACTTGGACAGTGTGGAGATGGACGAGACCGAGCGGGAAGTAGAATACTTCAAGAGGTAATATGAATTTTTGGTGGTTTGGTAATGTATGGTGGCATTGCTGTGCATGTGGCTGTAACCTTGTATTTGCTGCCATCTCGGGGGGGTTATTTGACCACAGAATCATCTTCCAGTATGCACCAATTAGCACAGATCACTACATCACATTGCAAGATCTGGGAGTTTTTACTGAGGAAAAAAAAAGCCTGGCTTCCTGTGCTGTAGTGTTTTTTGTTCTACGTTGAGGTGCAATGGCTAATTATAATATCTCTTCTTGGACCAGGGATAAAGATTGGATCCAGCTCTGACAGCTGTAGTCAAACTAGACTTAATATAGAATTTTTGCAGCATTTATTTCCGTCCAAGTGCATCAAACAGCTGTTTACTAATCAATGTCAAAAACAGATTGGTTTCATGTTCATGAGAGCTTTGCCAGAGTCGATTTAAAAAGAAGCAGTTCCCATTACGAGAATCGTTGAAAACCAGAGAGTACTGGTCAATGTGATTGGCAAAAGAACCATCTCTGATATGAGCAAACTATTTTCATGCAGAATGTGGATGGAATGTAGAACGCAGTGCCAAGTGTGGTGGAGGCAGATTCAACTTAGGCTTTTCAAGCTGAGTTGGATAAGCAACAGAAAATTTGCACGGCTATGGAGGAAGAGGCATGGGAGGGGAGGGCCTCTTGTGGCACAGTGGTAGTGTCCCTACCTCTGGACCAAGACACCTGGGTTCAAGTCCCACCTGCTCCAGAGATATATAATAACATCAGTCTGAACAGGTTGATTACAAAAATAGGTTAACTGAATAAAGGCACAGGAAGGAGCATGTTGAAATTTCATGCAATGAGCCAGTGCAGGCACAATGGGCTGTAAGATGGCACATCGTGTTTCGTCAATGTGCTATGTCTAGATGCAAGCCTGAATTCTGCATCTTGTGTCACTTTAACAAGAGTGGCAACTTATTTAAAATAACTAGACCAATTGGAAAGTTTTCGGTTGATGCTGAAAAATGTTTCCCCTTGCCTAGAACTAGGGGTCAGAGTTTAAAAATAAAAACTAGATGAGGGAACTTTTTTTTTCTATCTGAGGGTTGAGAGTCTTTGGAAATCCCTTCCTCAAAGCAATGGCTGCAAAGTTTTTAAGTATTTTTAAAGCAGGATAATAGATTCTTGATTACCAAGGGGATGAAAATAATCAAGAAAGCTAATGGAATGTTGACCTTTTTAATCTAAAGGACTTGGCTGTAAGGGTTCAAAAGGTATGCTGCAGGTATACAAAACCCTGCTCAACCTTGCGTGGAGTACTGAAAGCAGATCTAGGCAACAGGATTGATAACTGGACTTCAGGGGTTGTTACAAGCAAAGATTATAAAAATTAGGCCTGTTTTCTTTAGAATTTAGAAGGTTACGGAATGATCTGATTGAAGCCTTCACGATCTTAAGGGTAGATAAACTATTTCTACTGTTTGGGGATTCTAGATCTAGGGAGCATTGTCTGAAAATTAGGAGCGGGCCATTCAGGAGAGACGTCAGGAAGCACTTCCACACACACCGGTTGGTAGAGGTTTGGAACTTGCTTCCACAAATGGCAGTTGAGGATGGGCGTACTGTAATAATGCAGCATTGATCCTGACGTTTTGACTATCACAAGCAAAGTTGTGGCTGAAAAGATTTTGAGAAGATTCGTAGCTCAGGTTATGGATGAGGTTGTAGACTTGCTCGCCGAGCCTGTGCATTTGATTGCAGATGTTTCGTCACCCTGCTAGGTAACATCGTCAGTGCACCTCCGGTGAAGCGCTGGTGTTCTGTCTTGCTTGTTGTTTATATGCCTTGGTTTGCTGGGGTGGTTGGCATCACTCTAGTTCTGTCTTTCAGTGGTTTGTATATCGGCTGTAGTTCAGTGTGTTTGTTGATAGAGTTCCGGTTGGAATGCCAGGCCTCCTGGAATTCCCTGGCATGTCTCTGTTTGGCTTGTGCTGTTGTGGATGTGTTGTTCCAGTCGAATTTGTGTCCATGTATTGAGACTAGGGAGAATTGATCATGTCTCTTGGTGGCTAGTTGGTGTTGGTGTGCCCTAAGTGTCAGTTTTCTTCCAGGTTGGCCTCTTAATGTTTCTCATAGTTCTTGCATGGTATTTTGTATATTACATTAGTTTTATTGGTTGTGGGTATGGGATCCTTTACGTGTGTCGCATGGTAGTTGTTGATTTGTGGGCTAGGGGTCTGATACCTAGGGGTCTGAGTCGTCTTGTGTTACCTCCACGACAGGCCACAACAAGAAGACACAACATGGCCAGACACACTAGTCACCCTACTGTACATCAGAGACAACCTCAAGACTACTCGGACCCCTAGATATCAGGGAGGTCCACAAACCAACAAGCACCCTGCGACAGCTACTGACAAACGTAAAGGATCCCATACGCACAATCAGTAAAGTTAATGTAATATACAAAATACCATGCAAGGACTGAGAAACATTGCATAGGCCAAACTGGAAGAAAACTGACAAGGATACACCAACACCAACCAGCCACCAAGAGACACGACCAATTCTCACTGATCTCAATACACATGGGCAAGAAAGACACGAATTTGACTGGGAGAACACATCCATAATAATACAAGCCAAACGGAGACAAAAGGAATTCCTGGAGGCCTGGCATTCCAACCAGAAGTCCTTCAACAAACCCATTGAACTGGAGCCGATGTACAAACTCCTGAAAAACAGAACCGGAAGTGATGCCAACCACCCCAGCAGACCAAGGCAGAAAATAACAAGCTGGACATAACACCAACACTTCACTGGTGGCACGGTGACGGCGGGGGAAGGCGAGGGTGTAAAACTCCAGGAAGTATAACGGCTATTGGGAAACAAAACAGCAGGTTAGCATGTGGAGGTGTGGATTCAACTGCATGGAAAATATGAAAATATAAAGAAGAACTCAGGAGAGGTTATTAAAGTCTCCAGAATACAATAGGACAGTGTGTTTGGAAAGGGTTAGGAATCTAACTTTAAGCATATCGAATAGAAGGATGATAATGAAAAGTGGGATGGTAAATACAGGACTGGAAGTGTTGTATGTGAATGCATGTTGCATACGAAATAAGGTAAATGAGCTTGTGGCGGAGATTGAAGTTGGCAGGTATGATGTGGTTCATTGGATCGCAATGAAAGGAATTTGTGGAATGTCTACAAGATGGCTTTTTGGAGCAGCTTAAGGAGGAACGCTCTAGGAAACAGACGATTCTCAATGTAATGATGTGTAATGAGGCAGACGTGATAGGGGAACTTAAGGTGAAGGAACCCTTAAAAGGCTGTGACCATAATTATGATAGAATTTACTCTGCAGTTTGAGGGGGAGAAGCTGGAATCAGATGTAACGTATCACAGTTGAATAAAGGTAATTACAGAGGCATGAGGGAGAAGCTGGCCAGAATTGACTGGGAGAGGAACCTAGCAGGAATGGCAGGAGTTTCTAGGGTTAATTTGGGAGACACAGCAAAAATTCATCCCTAGGAAAAATAAGCATGCTAAAGGGAGGAGGAAGCAACCATGGCTGACGAGGCAAGTCAGAGACAGCATAAAAGCAAAAGAGAGAGCATATAATGTGGCGAAGGGCAGTGGGAAATTGGGATTGGGAAGCCTACAAAGACCAACAGAGGACAACTAAAAAAGAAATGAGGAGGGAGAAGATTAAATATGAGGGTAAGGTAGCCAGTAATATAAAAGAAGATTTGTAAGAGTTTCTTTAGACATCTAAAGGGCAAAAGAAGGCAAAAGTGGATTTTAGGCCACTGGAAAATGACAATGGAGAAGTAGTAATGGGGAACAAAGAAATAGCAGAGGAACTGAATAAGTACTTTGCGTCATTCTGCATGGTGGAAGACAAGTGACATCCCAAAAATTCGAGAGAGTCGTTGGGGGGGTGCAGAAGCGAGCATGGTGGTCATCACCAATAAGGTACCAGAAAAACTGAAAGGTCTGAAGATGGATAAATCACCTCGACCAGATGGACTACACCCCAGAGTTCTGAAGGAGATAGCTGAAGAGATAGTGGAGGCATTAGAAATGATCTTTCAGGAATCACAAGTCAGGACTGGAAATCGCTAATGTAACCCCGCTGTTTAGCAAGGGAGTAATGCAAAAGATTGGAAATTACAGGCTGATTAGCCTGACCTCAGTTATTGGGAAGATTTTGGAGTCCATTGTGAAGGATGAGATTTCTGAATACTTGGAAGTGCATGGTAAATTGGATGAAGTCAGCATGGTTTCATCAAGGGGAGGTCATGTCTGACAAATTTTAGAATTCTTTGAGGAGGTAGTGAGCAGGTTAGACAAAGGAGAACCAATGGTTGGTATCTACCTACACTTCCAGAAGGCCTTTGACAAGGTGCCGCACAGGAGCTGCTGAGTAAGATAACCATGGTGTTAGAAGGTATTGGCATGGATAAAAGATTGGCGGTCTGGCAGAAAGCAGAGAGTGGGATAACAGGGTCCTTCTCAGGATGGCAACTGGTAACTAGTGGAGTTCCACAAGGGTCAGTGTTGGGACCACAACTTGACACTTTATACATTAATGATTTGATGAAGGAACTGAGAGCATTCTGGCTAAGTTCGCAGATGATACAAAGACAAGTGGAGGGACAGATAATGAGGAGGTGGAGAGGTTGCAGAAGGACTTAGGTTCAGAGAGTGGGCAGAGAAGTGGCAAATGGAATACAACGTGGGAGAGTGTGAGGTCATGCACTTCGGTAGAAAGGATAGAGGCATAGACTAATTTTTAAATGCAGGGAAAATTCTGAGATCTGAACTGCAAAGGTACTTGTGAGACCTAGTCTAGGTTTCTTTTAAGGTTAACTTGCAAGTTGAGTTGATAGTTAGGAAGACTGCATTCATTTTGGGAGGACTAAATACAAAAGCAGTGGTGTACTTCTGGGGCTTTATAAAGCTCTGGTCAGACCACATTTAGAATATGGTGGACAATTTTGGGTCCCATATCTCAGGAAGAATGTACTGGCCCTGGCGCAGGTCCAGAGGACGTTCTCAAGAATGATCCCAGGAATGAAAGGCTTGACATGTGAGGAACATTTGAGGACTCTGGGTCTACGCTCGATGGAGTTTAGAAGGACGAGGGGGGAATCTAATTGAAACTTACAGGATACTGAATGGCCTGGATAGAGTGGATGCCGGGAAGATGTTTCCATTAGCAGGAGAGAGTGGGACCGGCGGGGGGGGGGCACAGCTTTGGAGTCAAGGGAACACCCTTTAGAATGGAGATGAGGAGAAACGTCTTCAGCCAAAGAATGGTGAATCTATGGAATTCATTGCCACAGAAGGCTGTGGAGGCTAAGTCATTGAGTATGTTTTAAGACAGAGATAAATAGGTTCTTGATTGTTAAGGAATCAAAGGTTACGGGGAGAAGGCGGAAGAATGGGGTTGAGAAACTTATCAGCCATAATTGAATGGCAGAGCAGACTAAGTGGGCTGAATGGCCTAATTTCTGCTCCCAGGTCTTATGGTTTGCCTTGGGCTCATTACATTCATATACGCTAGATCATCAACCTGCAGTTTTAACTTTTCTTCCCTCTCCACAGATATTGTCAGATGTGCTGAGTGTTTCCGGCACGCTTTTTATTTTAAAACTCATTACATTCTCCTTTCCCTCCACAGATTCTGCTTAGATTCAGCCCGGCAAAACAGGCAGAGACTCTCCATCAACTGGTCTAACTTCAGCCTGAAGAAAACCACATTTGCTGCTCACTGATCAGATTAAGAGTTCCCGACTTGTGACTCCACTGAGTATTCTCACTCGAATATACAGTACTCTGCTGTGCTGAGAGCTAACCAGGTTGTTCTGGAACTGCCTTGCCTTTTTCTGCCCTTCATCCTTCTGCCCTCACCATCCCATCTCCCCACTGCTGTGTGTGGTTCTGCACTGGGATTGGTGCAGGGCGCCTTGGCCGTAGGAACTTCCTTACAGTGTTTGGAGAAAGAGTTGGCCAGATGTCGCTCCACGTACTCCTTACCTGATTTATTTTTTCGTTTGCTTGTGTGTTTGTAGTCTGTGAGTGGGACTTGTTCAAAAGTAGTCATAACCTGCTCGGGTTGGAACTCAAACAACCTTCTGTCTCTGACTCTTCTTCCCTAGTGTCTGCCCAAGCATGTGCTTGGGTGAAGGTCAGTCTGTTTGTTCCCTCCTTTGCATCAATCTGCCGTGACTTTTTATTCACGTCTTGCATTCAGCACTGTACATACAATCCAACTACTGACAAAGGAATGGACTTCATCAATTTTTATTCGTCATTGCTCCAGTGTTCCCTCAACGAAATGGTTTGAACGATGGGAATGCTCATGCTGAACTGGGCAGTGAAATCCCAGTTGCCTCCAGTACTCCTTCACAAATTCACTGTTTAAAGTGTACAAGGTTACGCTATATTGTGTTTGATTTCTGACTTGTAGCCAGCTTGTGTAAGAATACTTGCAGAATGAATTCAAAAGAACAATGCTCACACTATCGACCTGTTATAGAGTGTATAATTGTATTAACACTGAAGCCTAAACTGGCTACTTTTTTAACATATTGTTAAGTAATATTAAAAAAAATCATGTCTTTCTTTTTGAAAGATGGAATACAGTAGTATGGCAGAAAGGTGAATGTCTGACTTGCCTTTTTCTCTCAAAATGTAAAAATGTCTTTTATAGCTTTGCATTTCTTTCAAACGTACGTAGGATGAAGATTTAAGAAGGAGCATATACAGTAAACAGTAACACTACAAAAGGCATTTTGAATTGAAGGTTGGTAGTAAAGAATCTGAATATTGCTGAAAAGAAAGGCATGTTGCAAAGCATTTCATTCTGCACTCAAGACCAATTAAGTATGCTAAAGCTCATGCAATCACAGCAATTTCTACTGCAGGAGAAAAGAACACTGGTTTGCCAGGGCCTGCAAAGCATGTCTCAACGTTGTGAAAATAGGTTAAGAAAGCTGTTTCTTGCTGCTATCATGTAGAGGCTATGCAAGTGCTGCTTTTTGTCCAAAAGGAGGCCGTGAGAACCGCACAATTGAGCATGTGTAGATTTCAGTATAATGCAATATATGTGTGTTGTATGTGGCAAAAAATGGCTGATCAAATCTAACAGTATGTTCATATTGGACAGAATACAGTCAGGGTTCAACCAGGCCACACATGCAAAACCCAAAACAAAATGTCTACTATTGGGTGTGATTCTGCATTTGAACAGGACTTGCTGAACAATTGAGTATGTTAGTAGCTGCAAAAATGAACAATTTAAGATAATCGTTAAGTTTGCCGAGTGGTGCATTCATACTCACTGGAAGTGATATACCTTCATTCGCAGGGATCTGTTCTGTACGAACTGAAGGAATGCAGTAAATTCCTTTATCAGTGAAATCATGTGATGAATTTGCCTATCTGTTCCAAAAATTAAGTCACAACAAAACTCCACATCTGCAGGCAAAAATTATGTATCCGCAATTTTTAACCTATTTTTAAACGAGCTCCACACTTGCAAATTTCATCATTCACGGGTTCTTGGGAACGGAAATCTCCTGTATCCGGAGGAATGACTATGTTCAAGATTTAAGCCTTTTCTGAATTAACTGGGAACTTCGGGAGCTTGTATTTCCTTGTTGTTTTCTCCAAGACAATGACTGACCAATCCATCCAAATCAACTTGCCAATTAATCAGCATGCTCTGCTCAGGTAGTATGAGTTGGTGTGATTGATTGATTGCAATTTGGCATTCTTGCATTTATCCAGACGCAATACCTCAGCAACATGTCTCTTTTCAGCAAGATTCAAGAATTTGGGTCTTAAGATACACCAAACTTTTAAAGTAGAATAATACATTGATAGAAGACTTGCATTTATATTGCACTTACTCAACCTTGATGTCACAAGTGCTTTACAGCCAATAGGAGGCTTCATTGAATTATCAGTATTGTGTTGTAGAAAATGTGGCAAAAGTCTCCGTACAGCAAACTCTGACAAACAGCAATGCTAAAATAACCTGATCTGATTTTATTAATGTCAGTTCAGTGATATTTCTTGGCTAGGCACTACTGAGAGCTCTCTGATCTTCTAAATAGTTCAGTGGTGTCTTCTACATACACCCATAACATGACGTGTTGTCTTAAAATATAGTCTGAAAGTGGCATCTCCCAACAGTGCAGCCCTCCTACAATTAGTCTGCTGGATTGTGAACCTAAATTACATCCACAAGTCTCTGAGGTTGAACTTGAATATACAGCCATCTGATTCTGAGGTGAAAGTGCTACTTTCAAGGGGATGGAAGGCTGTTTGGAGTAGGACAGAATGTAGATGAATTAGATCATCCGTGATCTTATTGAATGTCAGAGCAGGCTCAAATGGTCTAAATTTCGTAATTTGTGTGTCCATATATATTCACTGAACCAAGGTTCACAGCATTTAAAGCTGTGTAGAAGCGTGGAGGACAGAAATAAAAAGATAATGCTGAACCCACTCAAGTCATTTTAAGGCCACATTTGAAATAGTGCCCAGCTTTAGATTCCCTTTGTCAGGAATCTAATCAAGTCCATGGAGGGTAGAAAATTCTCGTTGAAGTTGTTTTTTTAATTCATTAACGGGATGAGGTCACCACTGGCTAGGCAGCATTTGTTGCCTATCCCTAATTGCCCAGAGGACAGTTCAGAGTCAACCACATTGCTGAGAGTTTGGAGTCACAAGTAGGCCAGACCAGATAAGGATGGCACTTTCCTTCCCTAAAGGGCATTAGTGAACCAAATGGGTTTTTCCAGACATTCGACAATGGATTCGTTGTCATTGTTAGATTCTTAATTCCAGATATTTTATTGAGTTCAAATTCCACTATCTGCCGTGGCAGGATTTGAACCCGGGTCCCCAGAACATTATCTGGGTCTGCGGATTAACAGTCCAGTGATAATGCCACTAGGCCATTGCCTCCCCATGAATTCCAGGGGTGAGGAACTTGCAATTTGACAAGAAAATCATACTCTAAAAGATTTTCCACAATGATGGGAGGTTATTAAAAGTAAATTGAAGGAAAAACTATTTCAGTAGTGGTGATTCAGTTACTGGAGAGCCCAAATTTGAATATTATTGACAAAGGACCAAAGAGAGAGCCATGGAAATGTATTTTGAAATGCAACATATTTGAATATATTTTGCCTGGTCAATCTTTGAGGAAAGCTGAATCTGATATGAATGCAAAAATAATGTTTAGATAATTGTTTTGAAAAAAGAGAGAAGGGTGTGGGGCAGAGGCCTGTATAGATAAATGTTTGAGTGTTTCCAAGCTGCCAACAGTGTGATAGGGCAAATGGGCTTGGTGCTGTCAGTTCTTAGACTCGAGAAGCCATTCTCATCCATTTGCCTTGTTCAAAACCGATCATATTGGTCTTTCTGCTTCAGTCACTTTTCATGATCTTTTCTCTTCCTTCCACTGCATCTTCATTCTAATACATTTGAACTTTTGCCTGAAGCCCTCTGGCTTGTTATTTCTCTTGCCTCCTTTTAATAATTAATATCCTCTGCAAAAGAAAGCCTGAGCCATTGATTTTGCTTCTCGTCTCTGCCCTATCACGTTTCGCATCCTATTGCATATTGCACAATGTACCTGTGTTTCTAAAGTGTAATGGTGGGATGGCCAGAACATTGTTTATGAATTCAGCCAAACTTCTGTTTCTGTAGGACAGGTTGATAACTTTGAACTAATCTGATTGCTCACGTAAAGATATGTGGTAAAGGAGAAGTAAATATTGGCTGGGTGCTGCTAAGCATTTGGATATCCTTGGTTTGTGAGACTTCAAACTGGCTCACTGTTTGGTGAATGAACTGTGTGTATAATCTACAGAACAGCAACACAAGATTCTAAAGTCAGCTGCCATCAGGTAGGACATGGGTTTGTATGTTCTTGGTTTTGAAAAAAAGCAAGTGTTGAAGTGTGAGAGGATGATTTATGTTATCAATTAGCCCAGGTTCACATTTGTATTACTGCTTACTGAATTTGAGATCGCAGAATCACAGAAGATCATAGAATCCCTACAGTGTGGAAACAGGCCTTTCGGCCCAACAAATCCACACTGGCCCTCAAAGCATCCCACCGAGACACTTCCCTCTATAACCCACCTAATCTACATATCCCTGAACACTATGGGCAATTTAGCATGGCCAATTCACTTAGCCTTTAGCCTGCACATCTTTGGACCGTAGGAGGAAACCCACGCAGACAATGGGAGAACGTGCAAACTCCACGCAGACAGTCGCCCGAGGGTGGAATTGAACCCGGGTTCCTGGTGCTGTGAGACAGCAGTGCTAACCACTAAGCCATCGTGATGCCTCTGGTGCTACAGTATGTGTCCAGAGGATAGTAAGTGTAATTCTGTGTTTAATAGAATTGTTAGAAGGTTGTTATAATTGTTCATAGGAATGCTCCCAGGCTGAATTTGGCACAGTCATAGAATTATGCCAGCTAGCCAAAAACTTTGAAGTAGCGGTAAGTTTGAAGGGACGGCTTACAGAAGAGGAGAAGTTTAGGAAGAGAATTCCAGAACTTAAGGTCACCACTGTTAGACCCATGGAAATTGGTGATGTACAAGAGAAGAATAGATGTTCAGAGATCTCAGGGGATGTAGGAAGTTGTAGTGATAAAGAGACAACAATATCAATGAACAAGTTTCTTAACCCAGTAAGCATGTTGGATATCTATGTTCGGTCCTTCAGGTTGTAGCCAGCAAATTAAATGATCATGTGAACTCAAGTACAGGAAGTATGTTGAATCATTCAATTCTTGGGTGATCTGGATTTAACACCACTTCCTGCTCATAATTTTAAGAGAATTAAAATGAATTTGACAATTTCAAACTTCAGAGACAGTTCAGAAATCTGAGGGGATTACAACCAGGTGGACTGAATTAAGATAGAGATCTGTCAGGATCCAGTTCGATGTGTGGAACAGACTCATGAGCTGAGTAGCCAACTCTTGTTTCTACAAGCATCTGCAGTTGTAGATTGTCAGTTAATTTTTAGTGGAGGTCAACCATGAAACCTGAGATGTCGCGGGGTGATGTCTGTGTCTGTAGGACTGTCCTGATAGTGCATACAATTTAGTTCTTTGCCACGTGTCAAAATGTAATCTGACATGAGTAGTTCAAAATTCTTGTACAATTATGATTTTTCCAAATGTAAGAAATAATATTTACTCGGATGTTGGCGGAGAGAGAGAGTTGAGAGATGATAAATCCTTCTGCATTGAGGAAGGGAGGGAAGCAGAAAAAAGGAAATTATGAGTCAGTTAGTTTGTCTGTCATGGAGCAGGTATGAACATCATTCATTAAAGGGATTATTGTCGTAAATTTAGAAAAACTCAAGGTAATCAAGAAGAGTCAACACGATTTCATGAAGGGGAAATCGTGTAACCAATTTACGTGACTACTTTGAAGGAGTAACGTGCTGTAAAGGATAAATTATTTTTCTTAGATTACTAGAAGTCATTTGAGAAGTTGCTGCCTCAAAGGTGGTGGTGGAAAATAACAGTTCATAGTGTAAGGAATAACACATTAAAACAAATAGAAGATTGGTTGGCAGAAAACAGTATGCATAAATGGT